AAGGAAATTTGGTTATTTCTGTAACATACAATGTTTCAAAAGCTACAGTTACAAGTAATCTCAAATAAGGACATAAAAGAGTTCTAGGAGTTCCATATGACTTACAGAATACTTATTTTAGAACATATTCTTACACAAATATAGTCTAAAGAGGTTCAGCATCACTTATTTTACAAAGTGTCCCACCAGGTAATTTAACATATCAAGTAAAAAAGCCTAATTAGTTAAATATCTCTCCTTTTCGAGAAGAAATTGCTCTGACACGTTCCATGGGCCCTCTGGAAAATCTCAGACTTAATTAGAGATAAAAAGCACTTTACTTAGAATTTGATTGGGAAAATTTTTTTTATATATCAAAAGATTTACATTTTCCAACCTCTGAATATTAAAAGAAGACCAATACTTCAAGAAAAATTTGTCCTTTTAACTAAAAGAAAATAAAGTTCTAGTACTGTAATGTAAAAAAAAAATTATATTATAAATATTTAATGAATGAAGAAAGGAATAAATGAAAGATCATGCCTTCACAAACTCCTGCATTTATTCAGTTCCTAGAAACTGTTGAATAGTTCTTAGGGTTCACATTTTATCAAAATTTGCATTTAAATTCAATTCCTTGGGATTATAGTTCACAAGTCAACTAATGCAATGGTCCAAAAAGCTGATGTATGTGTTAATATGCTTCCACTTCCAAATTTGCATCTTAAATGGAGATTTTAAATGTTTTTGTAGTCCCACATGGACAAGTAATACTGGGGATTTCAAGCATCAAGGCAGGCTGGAAAGACAGAGCTTCTCAAATCTTCTCATCACATAGTACATTTCTGTCTATACACAAGACAGAATCTTCAGACCAGCCAGTTTCTGACAGGTATTTTGTTATATGAATTTTCAGAAAGTGATAAAATAGTATTCAGAGAGTAAATGGTGTGGGATAAGCCCTGTAGTCAGTGAGGGGATGAAAAGTTTGGGGACCAGCGCATTTTGAAGAATTTTTCTAATTACTTGCACGATGACACAGGACTACATATATAACATTGAACTGAAAAGAACTTCTTGAGCACAATGCAATGTCAGAGAACATAGTTTGCCAAACACCTCTTTGCTTTTGGAAGTGGGTTTGGTTCCCTGTTTTATTTTTATACATAAAATTTTTAAATAATGAGATTACATCTCTTTTTATTTATAAGAAAAAATGATTGTACTGATGTTTGGAGTTTTCTATGTATAACAAGAAACAAAACAACACAAAAAAATGGCTTCTGATAATTGGTATTTTGAATTTTTGTGAAATTTGGTGATTTTATAAACACAGTTTTTAAATCATCAATGATATATCTATATTTGGCAATGTGATTAATTACAGATATTTGATATTAGAAATGCTCTGTTTCAATAGCTATTGGTCAGCACTGAATGATCTCGTCACTCTAAACCATTATTAGAAGGCAAACATTTCACCATTGGGATATCTATCTTTGTTAATGAAAATAAAATAGTAGTTTTACATCCAAGAATCCTTTTCTGATTTTAGACTTTAATTTCTGTTTATATTTTAATGTGGAGAGCTGATTTCTAAAATCCACCAATCTTTAAAACTGACCTAGGAAAAAGTAGGAATCTTTTCAGGACCCCTATTCTTTATTCTTATAAAAATATAAAATAAAAAGAATTGAGTATTTCTATTGACCACTGAAAGAAAGCCCAAGAAAAAGATGCAATGTTCACAAAAATTTTGAAAACATGATATTTTCTAGGTATTTCACAATTCGGATACCCTATGAACTACCTTGTCAGTTGTTCTACTTGGCAAACAGAGAAACCAGAACTCTGGGAAAGCAGTCAACATATTATAAGAAATTATTAAAAAATAGTACCAGACAAGTCATTCACTGCTGATCACATTAGCAGTTTTTCTGAGAAAATGTGCCCCACACAAAGTGATCAGACTGTGACAGACCCCGTCATAGCTATTTGAACCATGATTAGCCATCTGAGTAATATTAACCCATCCATTGGCTGGCCTGAGATCTTGGACTAAGGATTTCTGGCTTGTTATTTAAAAGATGAATAGAGTCAGCTAGATTCTTTTTCATTTATTTGACTGAGAAGTTTATGAAAGAAGATGTCACTGTCTCTGGAAACAGATGGTGAAAAATTATGATGTAATAAGAAACATCACTGAAGCTCATGCTAAAACTAAATGAAGGAAAATTTATGAAGGCACAGAAACCTGAGCAAGCAGCAGATGCCCCTCAGTGTCTGGGAAAAGCCTGTTTTTTTCTCTGGTCAATAGCCATTTCCAATTCTTTTCTTCTGGTAAAACTTCTGATTTTGTTGGTATAGTAAGTGACTTCTCAGAAAGCCTGAATGATGATCAGCTTAAGCCCAGTGGTCTGCTAGAATCTGTTATTAGCAGCTCACAAGAGTTGTTTTCATGCATCTCTTCCCAAGTCAGCATTCAGTGACCTCACAGTGGTAGCTGGAAACCTGCCATTGTCGGAGTGTTTGTGCCACAGAAATCAGCAAATGCTACAAATCAGGATGACCACTCCCTCTGATCCCTAGCCAGTTGTTAACTATTTATAAGCACTTTAAGCCCATCAGGGAAATCCTATTTCCTTTTGCCAGATACTGGCCCAGGAGTAGGAATAGGGCCAGGTTCTGAGCTATGACAAGTAAGAGAAAGTCTGATGGAAGGCACCTGGGAAAGGTTGCCCCCCTTGATGAGTTAGAGCCAGCAAGCTACTCCTGCCTTCCTGCTTTAGGAGGCATTTTATAATGCTTTCAGATGCAGCCACGAAGGAAGGCCAGTAGAATCCAGGGATGTCAACACAGGTCATGAATGACTTTAAATCACTATCAACTACAACCACCAAAGGGCAGGAAAGTAGAAACAGTCCACCCTGGATATAGAAAATAATGCCTTGCATTGCCTGTAGAGAATTCAAAAACAGTAATGACAGACATTAATATTAATCCACTTTTGATTACTACCTTGTACTGACTTTTCTCAGTAATGTTAATGATAAGATACTCCTCCCCATACACCTAGACTCCTCCAATCGAGGCCTCTGGTATGCCAGAGCTAGTAAGTCTACAGTTAACTGTCTTAAACACCTAGTTAGATGCTATACTTAGGGTTTGTGTTGTTTAAGCAACTTTCATATGAGTTTTCTGTAGCCAAAACATTCTGAGGTGCTGAAGTTGTCACACCAAGTAGGGGGCTCAGAAAGTTGCTAGGTCAGTTTAATCTAACCCTAAAATGAGAAACCTCGAGGTTGTGCTCGGAGAACCCACACATCTGCTTAGATCTCAGGCCTCCCACAACTCTCCCCACGCCAGGCCTGGCCAATGATTCCTGTTCTAGTGTGTCCAGATTCTCCCTGTTGTGCCACCACTCTACTTATAAAAAACTACCTTTACATCAAGTAGCGTGAGCAGGTTTCTTTGCCTTGTAACCAAAGGAACTAACTGAAAAAACAGAACCTAGCATTTAACAAGATGGCCCCAAGGTAAAATACTGATAGCATACACATTGCAAAATCTGTACTAGGAAGACAGCAAATAGACAAAAGTATGCTTAATATATAACATTGTTTATAGTAGTTAAAACTACAATTTATCTAAATGTTAGCAAAAAGAGGACAGATGAATGATATTTTGAGGAATATATAATGATGTGGGAAAATTTAGCCAATATTAATGTAAAAAGGCAATTATTATATATCTATACACATACACACATATCTCATGACACAATTATTTGAAAACCCAGACATATTTATATATAGAAAAGTGCTGGGTGGAAATAAATCAGGTTATTGGTGATTGTTATTTCTGAATAGTGGGATTAAGGGATTTTAAAGTTTTTTCCCCATACATTTTTCTGTTATTTTCAAAGTTTCTAGCTCTCCAGAAATAAAAAAAAATTAATGAGCATACATTTTCTTTTCATTAATGTATCATGAAAATATACTAGGTTATTGTTTAGGTTGTGAATGCATACATAACATGAAATTAATGAATTCAACAGATTAGACAAAGTACATCAAGAAAGCTTAAAAAGATAAAATGATGCTGGAAATCCATGAGAATTTGCATTCTATAGAAAAGAATGTCATATTCCAAGTAAATTTCTCTCAATAAAATAGGAAAAAAAGATATTTAAATAATTTTGAGAGAACATTTAAGAGAATAAAAAAGATTAAAAATAATTTAGACCATACAACAATATTATCAAAATCTGACTTATGCTTCTGGGGATATGGCTTCTGGGGAAATGAATTAATTTTACAATCCTATAGGATGCTGCTCTAGTTATGTTGAGAGAATCATCTGGGCTTGATATAGAATATCATGCCTGGTTGTTACTGATGTAGTTAGATGTTTAGATTTGTTTATTTGATTCTTTAGATCACCACTATTCAAATATATATTCTAGTAGTTGAAGTATATATTGTACCTTATATTATTGAAGAGTTTCCATATATATATATCTTTTTTTTTTCCTGAGTGGAGAAAAAAATTGGTTGGAAAAGAAGTACAGAGAAATCAAGAAGAGATTCAAGTATGTTAATGGAGGGGAAAAATGATTTATTTAAAAAGCCAGGAAATGACTTAGATTTCAAGCTATCATTTTCAGTTATGCTCTGCTAATGAATAGGAATTTCTTTTACAGATACAGTGTGAGAATGGTTGGGTTGTAAGTTTATAATGCTTGAGACTCATCACCCAAGAGTAGATCATATGTAGCAGCATTTTGCTTCAAGAAAGACTATCATTAAAAACTTTTTCATTATGTTGCACAAAATGAATTACATTCTGTATTACCCTATTTCAGAAAATTGAGAAGAACAAAGATATAAATTAAAAAATCAAACACATACCAGATACAGCAAGGAAGTCATCAATGCTTGTAATGTCATCTACAGCTTCAGTAAGGACATGTATATGATTCTCCCATGTGCGCTTGTACATTTCCATGGTTTTTTTGACCACTTGACTTTTGGGTCTTGCAGCCAAAGCAAGTGCGGCATTAATAATCTGTGGAGATGTAGAATGTTCACATAGTGACTCCTTCGGGAATAGTATCCATGTGCAGCTGACAGGTATTCTTCTTTAATAAACCATATGAGATACACAGATCTTTAACAACAGGTAAAATGGCAAAGTGCCCCCCTGTGTAACTCCCTCTTTGCTTTTAGTAATAACTTTATTTTATTTTTGGCAAGGATTGAATTAATTTTAGAACTACTTATTGAGTGTCAATGCACTAAGTACAGCAAGTCTTAGCACTTCCACAATAGTAATTGGTATCTGCCTTTAAGGAACGTGTATATTACTAAATGAGAAGGGCAACATGCATCCATAAGTCAGTTTAGTAGGCAACACATGACATAACTACAAATAATGGTCTGTAGCCTTTAGAGAGCAGAGAGATAATCTTTGGCAGCTCTAATGAAAGGTTTCAGTGAAGAGTACAGTTTAACTGTTCTTTTGGATTCACACTGCACAACTCAGTGTGAATGCTCACTATATGCAAGTCACTGGAATTCTGACTTCCTTGAGGACTTACAGCATTTCACCAATAAATATTTATTATTTATTAATGAATCCATTTGTTCATTCACTCATTCATTCATTCATTCAATATTTCAACTCTATTCTGAATGTGTTTTACCTATCAAGCACTGTCCTAGGTTTTAGGGCTATGACAATAAATAAGATGCAGGCAAAAATCATTGCTTTCATGAAGTTTATATTTAAGTTAGAGGAAATGCACAATTAGCAAGTTAAATAAGTAGAATATATGGTCTGTTAGATGGTTATAAGAACCAAGAAGAAAAAACAGAGCAGAGAAGGGGGATAAGGAAGGGAGTGGAGGTACAAGTGGGAGTGATGATGAGCGCGTTTTTAGCAAGGCCTCACATTAAAGCAGAACATTGAGTCAAATCACTAGTGGGAAATAATTTGGGGATAGAGAAATGGCAGGACTCAAAAGGTGAGAAAATGGAAATGCTGTGAGAATGGTGAGCACCTAGAGCCTTGGTATTCTTCTTAGAATGCCATTTCTAGCAAGTTTGCCAGAAAGAAAAAAAAAAAGATGACTATGTGCCACAATTAACAATGGTTGTATCAGAGTGGCAGAATTTAAAGAACTTTTTATTTTATTTTGTGTCACTGACTTTTTCAGGTTTCTTTATGGTGAATGTGTTTTAGTTGTACACTCCAAATAAATGGAGGTATATTTCAAAGAAAGATGATGACTAAGGTTTTCTCATGAGTAAAAGGGAGAATGATTATAATATTGAAGGGAAAGGAGAGGCTAACAAGTCAGTTGTAGAAGCAGACACCTGTGTGCGACTGTTTGGGAGGAGAGTGTTGTTGGGGTGTCAGATGTCAGCTTCTTATGAGAGAGGTTAATTTTGAAGTGATTGTTGGGTCTCCATGCAAATTACATAGTGGCCAATCAGAGATGTGGAATTGGAGCTCATATAAAAAAGTTGTCATTCTTTTACTCACTTCATAGTTTATGCATTGCAGCAAGTTATTACTAAGCAGCAGCAATTCTACCCTGAAAAATTTCTACCAATGAAAAAGATTTCACCACTCTTTCTAAAACAGCTTGTAATCAAGCAAGGGAATCAGCAAAAAGCCTGGCAAATGCAACATGCCAGTGATTTCTCAGACGTTAGCCTCTATCAAAATCATCAGAAGGGCATGTTAAAACAGATACCTGAGACACAAGCTGGAGTTTCTGATTCAAATGATGTGCTCTGGGGCCTGAAAATCTGCATTTCTAACAGCCAGTGAGAGTGATGCTATGGGTGTGGAGCCCCCACTCTGAGCCACTGCAGTATGTAAGTGTTACAATGCAGGAGCTACTGTAGAGGTAAGCACAAGGTGTCCTGTAACACATGGCTGAGGGACCCAACTCCAAAAGGACAGAGTCCCAAAGAACTGAAAGCTGAAAACCAAATATAAATTAGAATAAAATTATATTTTAGGAAGAGAGAGTAACATGTACCATGACCTAGTAGCAAGACAGAGCCTAAGCCCAACTCCTAGGGAATGGTCAGCAGAGGGCAGATGGCAACAGAACAGAAGAAAATCAAAGATGATAATGGAAAGAGGGCAGAGAGAATTAAACCTTTGGAAAGATCAATTTGTATACAAGGAAAAGATAAAGTAGAAGTGCTAATAATGAGAGAAGAAATCATCAAGAAGGTGCTTAAAACTAAGGTGGTAAAGAGTCAAGAAAATATTTTCAAAAGATCAAGTGCTGTGGGAGGATCGGGAATAATGGCTAAAAACGGGTTTTGAATTTGGAAAACAGGAGTCATAGGTGTTGTGTGGTGGCCAAGGGCAGGCAGCCCTGGGATGTGCTGCTTTGGGTTTCAGGTTATTACAGAGCTGAAAACAATCAAGGCCCAAAAGACTCAGACACTTTGAGACCTTCTCCCTGACCCCTAACTGCATTAAAAGAATTGAGATAGAGGAACTACTCCAGGAAGAAAGTAGTGACTAACTACATCAGAATAAAACAAAGGGGTGGTAGACGGGGAAGAAGGTGGCATTCTTCCTATGTCTCTGTCCCACTGCTTCTGTGTGCCCAGCAAATGTGTGTTTACCAAACATTCACATTTCATATTCCTGTGAATTGCTTTCCTTTTCTTCTGAAGTCCCAGACCCCTACCTCCTGGTCCTTGGTTCAGGGTCACATATATAACTCATTCTCCCTGATTATCTTTGGGAATCTATTGTCCATGGATTCCTGTATGTACGTATTTAAAATTTGTTTGTTTTTCCTCCTGTTAATTTGTTTTATGTCAATTTGATTCTTAGACCAGCTAGAAGATCCTTGAAATGTAGAGGAAAATTCTTCCTCCCCAACAGTGAAGCAGAATGTTGGATACAGGATTCAGATTTCAACAAAACATAATACTACTAATAAAGAGAAACTTTTCCTACTTGGTAACCTAAAGGCTGCACTTCACTTACAAGATTTTCAACAAATTACTCGAGGTAGAGGAGGGGAGAAATTAGTTTCTTGAAAATATTATGTTGATATCTTTCTTTTTTATGAAACAGGAACACACAGTTTTAAGGAAACACACACTACTTTTAGAAATAACTACTGTGCAGTATTCCTTGACTTCAGTTTTAATAGTTTTATTAAGCTATTAACTTATCATGTTCATTTGTGAACACTGCAAAGGTCTCTGGTGTTTCATTGTCCCTGCAAATGGACAACTGTGTACACAAGTGGTTGTGCTAAAATTATGCCTTCACAGAGAGGCATACTTTTACAGCAATGGTGCAGAACCCTCAGTGGGAATATGGAGTCATGAGTATAAGACAGACTATATTTTCTAAGAACATTTTCAGTTCTGCTGCTGATACAATATTTCTGATTCAATACTGCACATTATGAGAAAACTTTATCCTACTTGACTCTCCCAATATTTAGTTTAAATCTAAAAGCAGACAAAATTCAGGAGATGTTGCAACCCTTTTTAAGACAAGAAGTCTTCATCCCAATGTCACATTGCTAGCATTTTAGCTTTATATCTAGAAGGGGGGAAAAAAGACCACTCCTATATCCTTTTCATGCATAACTGAAGATGACTAAAATGAATTAAGTTGCTTTCTGAAACATTTTTCTTTAAATTATGGTTGTGATGTGTGTGTCAGATTCCACTTTGACCCTGTGAATCACCTCGTCAGTTCATCTTTCAAACAGTCTCTTTAACTTCAGGACTTCAGTAAACCTGAATGAAATTATTTTAATAGCCCTTTAATCAGTTTCCTAGTTCCAGTTTTGCTCCAAGCCATCGTCCTTACTGTGAATATATTTCTTTTTCAAATGCTTAAAGGATCATGTCCCTATTTTGCTGGTAACCTTTGAAAGAATCCTCATTGACCAGAGATAAAATCCAAATTATTTTTCACTGATTCAGTCTAAAAACCTCCACTGGCTGGTCCTTACTCACAGTTCACTCTTCTACAATAAGCTCCCTTATTTTAGCCTATGTTCCATCATAATGTCTTTAGCTCTATTCCCTGATCACACCGTGTATCTTCATACCTCTGTGGTTTTACTCTGTATTCATTAAATACTCATTTCCCATTCTCTCCTAAACCCAGTCTCAACAATCACTATTCTACTTTCAGTCCCTACAAACTTGACCATTCTGTTGACTATTTTAGGTATCTCACCGAAGTGGAATCACACACTTGACCATTTATGCATGGATTTTATCATATAGAATAATGTTTTCAAGGTTCATCCATGGTGTAGGATGTGTTAAAATTTCATCTCCTTTAAAGATTAAACATATTTCCTTATATGTACATATCATATTTTGCTTATCCATTCATCTGTTAATGGACATTTGGGTTGTTTCTATCTTTTGTCTCTTGTGAATAATGCTGCTATGAACACTGATGTACAACTATCTGGTTGAATCCTGGCTTTCAAATATTTGGGGTATATGCTCAGAAATGATATCGCTGGGTTGTATGGTAATGCTAAATTCAGTTCTTTTGAGGTAATGCCATACTGTTTTCAACAGTGGCTACATCATTTTACATTCCCACCACAATGCACAAATGTTCCAGTTTCTCTACATCTTCACCAACACTTACTCTCTGGGTTGTTGGTCTGTTGTTTTTTTATAATATATATTCATCCTGTGGGTGTGAAGTGGTATCTCACTGTGGTTTTGATTTGCTTTTCTCTAATGATTAGTGGTTAGTTGAGTATCTTTGCATATGTTTAATGGCCATATATATCCTCTTTGGAGATATGTCTGTTCAAAACTTTAGCTCATTTTTTAATTGCTCTTTTGTTGCTGAGTTTTAGGAATTCACATATTTTTGGATATTAATCTCTTATCAAACATGATTTGCAAATATTTCCTTCTATTCATTAGGTTGTCTTTTCACTCTCTTGGTAGTAGTCTCTGATGCACAAAGGATTTTCATTTTAATAAAGTCCATATGATCTATTTTTGTTTTGTTTCCTGTGTTTTTCATGTCAT